GCTTTTGTCTCAAAGCTTAAAGGGAAGAGCCTCTGACACAGGCCGGAGACGCCTCCGCGCTCCGGCTGTGTTACAGAGGCGCGTAAATATGCTGGTGGCAGATGAAAACGAAGGGGTGGGAATCGGGAAGCTTCGCCCCTGATGCACGACCTTTTGTGGATCTCTTCATTTCGAAAACCTCTTTACAGCATTGGTGTTTCACAGAGACGTCATGAAACTGCGTTCAGTCGTGTGTAGCCTGAATTTAGTGAACAGACAAAACAGTGGCGATACAGAGATTAAATTCTCTTTAATTTTTAAATGCTGTATTGCTGTAGCAGCATTGAGCAGCAGTGTTGCTGTAGTGGTGAGATCACAGTCGCAATATGGTTATGCGCACATCTTTTTATTGCTTAAAAAGGGTCTGTGACTTATTCGACTTATTTTTTTCCAGTCCTAGCTTTTGTCTGATAACAGTCGTTGAGGTGCTAGAGCAATTCCTGCAGAAGGGACGCCTTTCGGCTCTGATGTGGGAGGTCTGTCAGCAACAAGCGCAGGCTGGCTCGCCTGAGTTACAGGAGACCCTGCTCAGCAGGATTGTGTGTTTGCCTGATCACGTGAGCAATAAGCTGCAGGGGAAAAACCCACCGGTGTTCTTCCCGCAGAACTACTTTCCTCTGCTGGGCGATGCGATTATCCAGGTGCTGCAGAAGATCTCTGATTCTCTAAGAGGTAAGATTGCAGCAGGAGAGGCAGCTCTTCTGAGAGAGCATTTTGTGCATGGGCGTCCTCTGTTGGTGCTTGAAATACAGATAAGGAGGCCTCACGTTTATCCTTCAGGCTGAAGTTCGTTGTGCTTAAAAGCGTAAGATAGTAGGAATGAGGAAGATGGCCAATGCCATTTAAAATCCAGCTGAAAGCTGCAATCATACGAGCTGTTAAGTAGCCTCATTTATTGGCAAAGTTTTGTGGTTACTTGATCTGTGCTCAAACCGTTGTTGGAAAATTTAAACACCACCAAATGAATTAGGGGCTTTGTTACCATTATGTTACAGCAGGACTGAACTGCTTCAGTCTCCTGTTTCCCCCTGCGTATCGTGCTGGGCAGGATTTATCTGTGTTGCAGCGCCTGTGTTTTGTGCTTGAAGGCAGGTTATGGAGAGGGGAAGAGATTTTGCTTCAAGAGGAAAACTAATCTGGGTTTTCAGGCTTCAGTACTTGCAGCAGGGTACGCATCTACTTGTGAAGCTTGTTTGGAGCATGCTGGTAGTGGTCTTGCTGATTTTTGTATCTGTTTTGTCCCAGATGGCTTGGATTGCTCAATCACTTTTGTGTCTCATGTTCTGGGGAAGGTATGCGTTCATGGAAGACAGAGTGAGTGTTTTACAATATTATTTTGGGGAGAGGGAAAGTCTATTGTACTATATTAGTAAGGAAACATGAACGTGATAATGATCAACAGAAAAAGTGGCAGACTGGCCAGGCAATACTTTGGGTTTCTTGTGAATCAACCTGTAGATATTGGCCGCTCTTTGCTTTATGAGACTACTCAAGTATGTATCTGATTTGTGTCAGCGCATGTGAATGTGCTGTGCCCCTCTCAAAAGCTAAAGAGAGTGTTAGCCTTCTTTCTGCCCTGCCATTTTGGGTGTAACTATTAAACTCTTCTTCTAGTGCTTCTCATCCAGTGATCTGAAAGGATATTGTAAATACCAGCAAAAGTCACTGCCTGTACAAGTAGCCTTCAGTCTAGCTTTGCTTCTTAGGCCACAGGTTGGTTCTTCCCACAGGAACAATTCAGAGCTGCAAACTATTTATTGTATTTCTCCATCTGCAAAGAGCTTTAAATTTGCAGGCTGACCTTGAGTACAGTTGTACCAGCTCTGTCCACCTAGAGTATTTACCTCTCTCTCTCTCTTCCACTTCAGAAGAAATTCTGAGCGTTTTGGTGCCTCGCCTAACAGACCTCACCAAGTCAGACTGCATCTGGCAAAGGATATGCTGGCGATTGGTCGAATGCGTGCCAGACCGCTGGATGGAAGCAGTGGTCCTTGGTTTTGTTCAGAGAGCATCAGGGTAAGAATTCTGTTTTTCTCTCTGATCCAGAGCAAAGGCTGGAATTATTTCACGAATACTTTCAAAATCAGTTTCTGGAAGATGCTGGCCTATGTGTGTTTATGTAGGCTGTTTCTCACAGTGCCATTTCCGGAGAGACTCTAGAGCTAAAATAGCTTGATGGTTCCCCTGCAGGTAGAGCCTGCACCATTCCTTAAAGATCTGGATTCTGCAGGGAAAAAACAAGTGAAAGTGTTATTCACAATCGCTGACTGGCTTGTAATGTTTAGAGCTGTTTTAATAATCTTTAGCTTTTGACTTCCTCGCTGCTCACAGAATTGCGTATGGTTAGTGGCAGGATGACAGTAATTACACAAATTCCTAATGTTTTGCTGTTGACCTGTCTTGCTAGGGCAGATGTCTTGTCTAGATTGCTGGGGAACCTGGTTGTGAAAAACAAGAAAGCTCAGTTTGTGGTGACTCAGAAGCTGCTGCTCCTGCAGTATGGCTACACGGTGAGGACTCTGCATTGAGCGGTGATGTGGGAACACCTGTCTTTCCTAAAGTTTTGACGTGTTTTTCAGCTAAGCTCCAGCTCTCTGTTCAAAAGTAAAACTTACTCTTTGTTATGAAATTGTCCCTGAGTCTCTCAATCTCTCCACTTGTACCTGAGCTCTGTTGCTGTTCACTTGCATCCCTTTAGCTGAACATCCGTCTTTCCATTATTTTGCCCACAAAATATATGTGCTTCATTTTTTAATTTGCCTCATTTTCTGTCTCTGAATGTTATGATGCAGTCACTTGGAATGAGAAGTTTAACATAGGAAAAATACACATTTGTCCTTGTGGCTGACAACTTTTAAAACAAGACCTGTGGTTTTCATTGCAGACTGGAGTGCTACAGAACATCCTCGGCTACTTATCCCTGGACAGCCTTCGACGTGCCTTATTGATCAAAGTAAGGTTTAGTAACGTTTTTGGTAAGAGATCTGATGGAAAAAATTATACTGTGTGAGAGTGTGTGTGTGTGTGTGTGTTGTAGAAGCGTGGTTCTTTTCTAGTTTAGCTCTGTTACTGTACGTGAGAGTGAGGAAAACCTCAACACGCTGAACAATGCAAGATAAATAGCTTGTGAGGTACACATTGAAGCCTTTCTGCACTGCTAGTATTCTTTTGTTTTATTGGCAAATTGTGTTCCGAGTAGCAGAACCAAAGAAGCCTGGATTCCTACAGAAGTCCTGTGTCCTCTGTTCTTCTTCTCAGCTTCCTCCCTCATCCGCTATGTGTGTGGCTGGACAGGTGGCAGCAAATGATGAAGCTGGTTCGGAGTTATGTGTGTGCTGAATGGCTGATGTTGCAGAATCTCTCTTATCTACATTTTCCTAAGTGGGGTTGCAGATCTTTTCCCTCTCCAAGTCAGCAGTGTAATGGAACTTCTAGGAACTTCTTATCCCTGGAAATCTCTACCCTTCTGTCGTGGTGGTGGGTTTTTTTTTTTTTTGTTTATGGCATTGATTACAGGTTCAGAATTTATCGTGAGTACTGGCAGCTGTGTAGACTTTGGCAACTGTATAGACTTTGAAGAGTGAGCTTAAAAAACATTATACAGAACTTTAGAGGAAGCTGGTATGGCGTTCTCAGTTGGCCAAACAGTATTATTCTGGGCCATGAAATACAAAGTTGGCTCCATTTGTAGGGAGAGTGTAATTACACCAAGACATACAAAGGCCAGAGTACCATCAGGATATGTATTGTGTTGAATGAATGTTTGCATATTCCTCCAGAAAAGAAACTGTTTATGTGTAGTAAAGACCAATTCTGAGCTAACTCGGATTTTGTGACTTAGGTGCTGCAAGAACTCTTGGAGACCTGGGGCAGCAGCAGTGCTGTGAAGCACTCTCCAGCTGAGCAGCAGCAATATATTAGCAAGGCCATTCTTATCTGCCTCTCCCACCTGAAGGACTCTGAAATAGAAAGCTGCAGACAAGGTGAGGTGGTGGAAGGAGCAGGGGGATAGATGTGTTTAAAAGAAAATCTGACTCTTAAGTAGAAAAACATCATGTCTTGATTTATAGATGAACAAAATCGTCCCGACTTCGTCTTGGCAAACAGGGTACTTGCTGGAAACCTTTTTCTTTAGTGCTGATATGAGGTAATTCCAAGTGCATATATTTAAATTATAAAATTGGAGAACCAAATCTTTGAACTAAGGCACTCTCACCTAAACAGTAGTTTAAGAAACCGTAACTTTGGACACAAGAAAAATAGGAATGACTCTGAGACACTGGTTAGAGGAATGATGCAATTTGCAATTTATAAGCTTGCTAGTGGAGCCTGAGTAAAGGTGTAAAGATGTGTTGTGTTTTTTTTTTTCTTTTTCCTTTTAAAAGTACACTGCGAATTATAAGCTATTTGATTAGACTCTGACTGTCCACATGCATTCCTATGTGTTGTTCTGCTCCCTCCAAGTGTGGTTACTCACTAGATGAGTAAAGTTAGTACTAGTTAGCAAAACTACAGAAGCTATTACTGACTGCAGGTAGTGTTCAAACTGTCGGTCCTATTGATCAGTAATTCCTTGCTGCAGCTTTATGCTCCTCTTTCCACGCATCTGTCTCACACTAGGATAGTGAGTTTTTATTGTCAAGGGCCACTTCTTTATCCTGTATTTATATAGTTTGTAGCATTTTGGAGTCCTGGTCTGAGATTTCAGTTTCTTATTGCGATAAAAAGTTTATCTGTCCAATTTCTAGAGTTGTTTCTGTTACTTCTGTGTGCAGCTTTTTGTTTGTTTTTAGAAGGTTGACTTACAAGATCATAAATCTGCTTCATTCCAGAATTCATTCTTTAGGAGAATAAATAACCAGTTATTTACTTACAGTACTGTAGTTTTATAATCCATTTTCTACCTGACAGCTGTTGGGAGAAGAGCGGGGGGAGGGGGAAAAAGAAGCTTTTTCTGAGTTGATAGAGGTCAATCTGACAGCAGTAAGCCTGTCTGCCTGTCTGGTGAAGGTGGCTACCATCATATTCTGTGGGTTGAGAATTACCAGTATTAGCTACCTGTCTGTACGTATCTAGATGGTGAGAGAAATTTCTCCCTCCACAGTTGTTGCGCTGATCAAAATTTGCAGTTTCCTCCTAATGTGATGTTTCACTTCAGAGGTTTCGAAACACTGAAAGAGAACTAAAGATTGATTTGACTTACCACTCTTTTTGTTTTATATTTCAGTGAAAAACTAAATATTCCAAATTTAGGATATATTTGTAATATTTTATTGACTTTGTAGTCCCATGAAAAAGCATGTTTTATTATATTGGTGCTGAGAGGAAATATTGCAAAAAAAGAAGTCATGGTTGTGTTTTTAGGCCCTTCCTATCTCTCTGCCTATTTTGAGCGGTAGGTAGCTAAAGATGTGCTCTTGGGGAACGGACATAAAGACAGATGTTTGTTCCTCTTGTTGTTTGATACACTCTTTGTCTTCTAGAGCTTCTCACAAGCATGATGGCCGGTGTAAAATGCCACCTGGACAGCAGTCTGCCACAGATACGGCGTCTGGGAATGATTGTGGCGGAGAGCATTAGTTTGAAGATAAACACTGATGGGCCTGTCCTGAAATTTCAAGTGAGGGCCTAATGAAATTTCTCTCTAGTGTGCAAGGCTTAAGAGGAAATACAAGCGTTAAAACAGATGATCTAGGGCATTATAGTGGGTGCTAATACTTATTATCTGAGAATAAAGAGAGGTAACAACACTTCCAAGAAGAGAGGTAATCTGTTTACAAAACAAAATTGTACTAAAAATACATGGGTGTGTGAGAGTGACCTTAGAGTGTAATCTGAGGGCAAAGTTCAGGGTAAACTGTTGATAACAAAGGACAGCTAGAGGATCGTGAGGACTGCACAAGAGAACGGGATCCATGGAATTTGAGAGGGAATTTCAAACCTAAAGCAGTAGTGAATGTTCGATCCCTGACATGGTAGGAATTACCTGCTCTGAGCTGGGATTTCCAAGGTTGACATGGAGTTTTTAGCTGTGCTACTTCCAGTAGAGTTTATAAGAATTATGTGATTAAAATCTCATTCTTTCCTTAAAAATCTGTATCATCCATCATGTTGCATTGCCGTTTACTAAATGTTCTAAAGATTATAAATAGCATTGTGACCAGGTCTGAACTGATACTTGCTGTCAAGTGTTGAGACCTACTACGAAGATTATATACGGCACAGATTGCTGTACAGCATAAATAAGGTATTGCTGGCAGCCTAGTGATTGAAACAAATGGGTTTTGTGGGTGTTCAGCTGCTCATAATTCAGTCTTCATTTTTACATAGCAGACGGGTCGAATGATGAGTGCCGGTCACGTTTGCAGTCTTACAGTGCAGTAACAATTATTCTGAATGTCTAGTATGAAGAAGACAATGAAACGAGAGAACTGAAGTCCCTTCTGATACAGACTCCACCATGCTGTGTTGTCCCCAGCCTTCCAGGCGATGAGTAAGATACTGCTACTGTTCATCTCCCATACCCTTTTAAGTAGCAAATTTAAAAAACGTACTGAGCAAAAGTGGGCAAGTTTTGTGTTCTTTCTAGATTATCAATAGAGTCTCCATCTGCAAAAGATGTGTCATTCCATTTTTATCTTCTTTGTGCTCCTTGTCGTTCTGTTCGCGTCTTATCGCATCTTCCCTCAGTTGTCTCTCCCAGACTGAAGAATCCTCATCTATTTAGTTGTTCCTTTATGGAAACTATTCTGTCCCTTTGATCATTCTTTTTTTCCCTTCTCCATACCGTTTTTCAGTTATACACTGGAACTGTATGCAGTATTAAAGATCTGCATCTTATACATTCTAATAAAGCATTATAATGCACCTTATTCTTACAAGGCAGTATAGTGATGTTAAATCCATAATCCGTATGGTAGCATGTGTTAAAATTGCTCGTTTGACAGCTGCACGTACTGAAACTGTGCTGTAGTTTCTAGGGGTCTTACATGCCCCTGAGTTAAATCAAATGGGCCTTTCTGTTCACATCCGGAGAATCTTTTGGAGTTTAGACCATATGCCCCCAGCCCGTTCCTCAGTAACAAAAATCTGGCATGTCTGCAAACTAGTTCTGTGGTACCCTTAACTTCCATAGCATCTTCTGAGGCTCTTGAAGCACGTCATCAGCAAATGAATGAAGCACTTAATGTTCCTAGGAAGTGAAGCTGTCCAGAACTCCAGTGAACTACAGATTTACTTGCATTACTTGCATTTTAGGAGCCTCATCAGCATAGACAGCTGTTTGGGACAGTATTTCAGAAGCAAAGAGATGAAAGGACGTGCCCAAGGCCACAGACGTTTTTTTCTCTGTTATCATATTCAACCCTTAAGAAAAGTTAAAGAGACTTCGTCCCGTTTGTTCAGTGTTCTTCATGGCTTTGAATACTGTACAGGCCAGCATGATCTAGTTAGCACAGATGAGCCTTTCCTTAGTTGTCTTAGACATGAGTTAGTGCAGGTGGAAAATTAGCTAACTACATTTTAGCAAATTAGCTAACTAAATTTTTGTCATCCCTTGCTCTTCCATTACGAGAATCTGCTTTTCTTCTCCACTCTTCAGTCCATTCCCCCTCCCGGTACTTTGTTCCTAATGCAGGCCAAGCTAGTTGAGAGACTACAGCAGAAATAAGTATCTGCTGTTCAATTTAGGCAGCAAGATTGGGTGGTAGTGGTGGGGAGTGTCTTGCGAATAAGGGCTATTACATTCTTGATTGTAATGCTTCTTGTTGCTTTCAGCAGGGAAGAAAGAGCAGATGCTAACATTCTTGATTGTAATGCTTCTTGTTGCTTGCAGCAGGAATGAAAGAGCAGATGCTACACTGCTGGCGGTATTGGAAAGTAATGAGAAACCACATACAGCAGCCCATGCGACACCAGATGAGGAGTCGGATGCTGAGCTTGACAGGTGTGTGTTAGAACCAGCCATGGGGCAAGAAACTGGTAGGAAATAGAAAATGAACAGCAGATCCTTAGGAGTGGACTTGAAGAGAAAGAAGTTATCGGTACCTGCTTATTTTGGCAAATCTTGTGTTTTCTGACTGGAATGAGGGAGCAGACCTTGTTCAGATGAGTGGTATTCAGCAGAGTAGGGAATTGCATATGTGTAATAGGCAATGATTTGAGTAAAGCCAGCATCATGTACAACCGTTGGATTTATTCCATTTGACTGACTTAGCTGCATGTTTCCTAACAGACTGCAGTGGAATTATGGCTGTATTTACCCATTTTATTAGAGGACCTGTCATATCTGGTTACAGAACTGTTCTTTCACTTTACTTCAGAGTAATTCATAGGGCTTCCTAAGGTGACTGTCTGAAGAATCTCTGTTCCGTTTCCCCTTCTTCCTTAGGGCAAGTACTTCAATTTTGTGTGAAATGAGATCTCTCCCATCAAACTTTTCCACCATTCCTTCTAGCTCACAAAACTGCTTAGTGCAGATAAGGCTTCACCTGTGGCTTAGCCATCACATACTTTTGCGCTCTTTAAAAGAGGCAGCTTTTTCACTGAAATGTGAACAAACGCTAAATTAGAGACCAGTGTAAAAAGGTTGCCTCTATCCACAGTTTGGATGTGTTAAACATATAAGGAGAAGAGAGAAGCTCTGTCAGCAGTGCCTTTCAGACTCTAATACCGAACAGGATCTGCAAAGTGAAAAGCTGTGACTTGCAAAGCTATGTGTGGGCTTAGGACAAAAGCATCTTTTGGCCAGGACTGTGGTTTAGAAAGGCATTTAGAATTGCCCCGCTCCTGCTAGACACCAAAGCCTGTTAATGCCGAAGCGTGCTATGAATATAGGACTACACTAGCATGGTTTTATCATGGGTGAATGGCTTTTTTTTTTTTAACTATATTAACAACTGATCTTCCCTTACTGTCCAGTTCACCTTTGAGAATTCTCACACCTGAGTCACCTGACTTTTTCTTGGCTCTGAGCTGTTGACTGAATGTGTTCACTGCGTACTCCTTGTTGAAAGCAGAATGCCTCGCTGGCAGGCTGTAGGCAGGAGTGTAGACCAGCAGTGTGAACGTGGTCATAGCTCCCAAATGAAATGATACATTAAAAAATCCTCCCCCAAAATCCTATAGCAAATGTTTTGTGTCTAGCATTACTCTGTCATTCATTAACCCTGAGGTAGGTGGCAAAAGATAGGTGATAGAAATAACAATTGATACAAGTTACCTTGTGGAAAGGATTATTTGTTCATTTTCTGTGTGATTAATTCCCCTGAATTCTTTTCCGAAGCTCTCAGGCGTTGTACAGAAATGATTAAAAAAAGGTCCAAACTCATAAAAGTGTTTAGGCTCCTGTCTTGGGCTCACTGCTTCCCCTTTAAAGTAGTGAGCTAACAGTTGAAATGTTCTGTTTACTTTGGAGCCAAGAGTCCCCAAAGACAGTCATTAGTTTTGAGCGTTCACAATGCAAGTGTTTTCATCTGAATCTGTCACCATGGTCTTCTCTATGGTCAGTGCTCAGAACAGCACAAGGCAGTTCTAGGGCTCAATTCCTGTGATCTGTTTTAGTCTATTTCTGGGAAAAGATGAAACACCTTGAAGTGTTCATTTTGACCCATTTATTTTAAAGGAAGCGTAGACTAACTGGAGACTTTTACTTTTGTATAGGTGAATTCCACACCCAATGTCCCTGAACTAAAAAACAAACAAACAAAGAACCCAGCAGCCTTTTCCCCCACCCCCACACCACCCTTGCTCACAGGAGCAAAAGCTAGCATCTTGTTTTCAAAGCGCTTGCTATGTTTTGATATTTCATGGGGGAGGTTTTTTAGTGTGTCCCACATATGTTTGTACTTTATAGCCGGTATTTCCTCTGCTGTCTGGACCCTTGTAGGTTAGGTTTCAGCAGTGCTACTGTATGATGCAAGAGCGACGTTGTTAGGAGAGCGTATGTTGCTGCATCTTTCCCTTTTGTATGGATATCTGGAGAAGAGAGAGTGTCCAGACTCCATAGACTAACTCTTGCCTATATTTCTTTAACAGTGATGATGACCTCATCCCTTATGACATGTCAGAGGATAAAGAATTAAAGACGACTAAGGCCCCTGTATATATTCGAGACTGTATTGAAGGTACGAGATTCTGGGTTGAGTCTTCCTCTGTTTCTTACTATGCTTTTGTGAAAGGGGTCTCCATGTGGGTGAATTATTTTTCTGAGCTGATTGGATGAAACTGTAGAATTTCAGTAATGCGGGCTCAAGCGCTGCAGTATAAATTTCTGAATTTAGTTCCTAATGCCTGCAATGTGCTGGGTTGTCGATACCTTCCTATTGTAAGAGAAGAACTATTGGCAGAGGAAGGTGGGGATATATACCTGAGCTTCACCATGGTGTTAAAAGCTTTTGTTTGTCTTTGGTTACCTTTAGTCCTGACAGGATCTGAAGATGTGGACAAATGGGACGCTACAATCAAGGCTCTTGAGAGCTTGGTTCGAAAGAATCCAGCAGCAACAAAAGAGGTAAAGTAGTATGGGCTGACAGATACCAGTGGGCTGTAATGCTGGGTTTCTCCTTTGCCATCGTGAAGGGACTAAACTTGCCAACAAAGCAACAGGCAAGGCTAATGTGCACCTGAATTTAGCGCTTTCAACTTGGAAAGAGAAATAGAAGGAAATGTCGTCTTTGGAGATGAGGCTACAGAGCGCAGAGGAGCAAAGGAGCTGGCAAAGGTGACCAGAGATGGCAGCATGTATGTAAAGCTGCCAGGATGGCATTTGGCAGCTCTTGCACTGAAAACGAAATGTGTGTTCGAGTAGATCCTGACAGCAATTTGAGATAGCAGAGGGTATTGGAAGCTGCATGCTTTGTGCTGGGCAGAAAAAACATTAGAAGTGCAATCTACAGAGCAGATATTAATCCCACAAATGTAGCAACAAAAAAGGGAGATAAAATCAAACGGACTTGCCCTGCTTGCTTGTACAAGTCTAATGTCTCCCTGAGGGAGTAGTTGGATTGCACTGGTTAAGACAGAGAACTCAGGTGAGAGGAACTTGGGAAAAGAACACAGATGTGATCACTACTCGCTGTCAGTTGTTATCAGATATATGAAACTGAGATTTATAGTGCCAAAGATACAAGCCTCTGCCCGCTGAGCGCACAGGAAGGCATGCGGTGTGGTAAACGGTGTGCAATTGGCTGCTGCTTTTGTCAGACAGTGTACTGAGCTGGATGGACTTCTAAGGTGGTACTGTACCTTTAATGCATGAGCTGTAGTGGCAAGTCCTCCTTATCTCAGGATGCTAAGTTTTGTCCCAAAAGCTGTATCGCAAAGTAAATGTGCACAGAGAGATTGGCTTAGGTGTTTGTTCATTGCTTTGAGAAATCTGTGTTTAGCTTAATATGTTTTTTCTCTCTCCTAAGTAGTGGACATACTGTTGCCTATGTTTTGTTCCTTCATTGTCTTTCCTGGAAAAAAATAAGAATGGACAGTGGATGCTACTCTGTAAATCCTGGGGGAAGGAAAACACCTGCAGTGATTTGATTCTTCTATTCTTATGTTGAACAGGTTAGCGTGGAACTGGCGAAAATACTACTGCATCTGGAAGAGAAGACCTGTATTGAAGGCTTTGCAGACCTCCGTCAGAGAGCCCAAGTAGCTGTTTTAACCACTGATCCAATACCTGTGAGTCCCCCTTCTGCTTCCTTTTTCCCAGTCGAGGCAAAGGCAAGGATTTAAGCAGGTGAAGTCTCTTGCTAGCTGGGTAGGGGCACCTACTGGAGTATGTTAGAATAGCTAGTTGATGTCTGACAGCATTTATATAAAGATGGTGTATGTACTGAAGAATGGCTGAAACAAGGGGAAAGAGAAAACTGGATCAGAGCTGCAAAGGACTGAAGTAACTGTGTGGAGACTGCTAGCGTGGGTACGCCTGACAAGGCAAATTAGGTGAGCACTTGTTGCACTGAAGGGAGATTGTTTCATATACAGGGAAACTGAGGCACTAAAGGTTTCGCTAAGCGAAGGCTTGGCTGCTGTTTGTAATTGGCTGCAATGGCAGTTATTTGGATACTTCAGCATAGGAGGTGCGAAAGAATGGCAAAGTCCTTTTTGTCATTCATATCCTTTGGGAGAATCTAAAAATAGAAACCTCTGAACACAGCACTTCTCCTCCTTTCTCTTGGAGGCTTGTCGTTCACTAACAGGAAGCAGGATTTTTCTAGAACAGGGTGCTTTTGGAATTAGTGGGAAGGCTGTTCCCAGATTGGATTTGTGTTCGCTGCTCCATTTTTTTTTGTTGTTTTTTGTTTTTTTTTAAATCTGCATAGGTAGCACAGTACCTGACCTCGCAGTTCTACTCCCTGAACTACAGTCTTCGTCAGCGCGTGGACATTCTTGATGTAAGTGCTCTTCTCTTCCCTTCGCACTTCCCTTGTGCCTTTGTGCCATTTCCCTGAGATGTAACAGGGAGGAGGTAGAGGCATGGGAAGCTTTCACCTTTGTGCTTGGCATTCCTCTCTCGTTTTTAACCCTGCTATGTTCCAAATATACAGTGATCTTTGCCCACAGAATGCAAAACGTACGGGGGTCGTTTGCCTAGAAGAAGCCACTGTTTTCTAACCTGTCATCAGTCTGTTACCTCTTCGTCTTCTGAAAGACAGCAGTCTGCCTCTGATTCCTTCCACACCGTTTCACTTTGTGTCTAAAGAAGGAGCCACTGTTCTGTTCTAGGGCCAAGTGCCTGAATATTTGGCCCAGTACCTCAGAGCTAGTTGATTGTTTGGGGATCAGTTACTCACTCTATTGTTCTTTGTTCTAAACCCATTGTGCCTTTCTGCCTTGGTAACAGTTTGGGTGCAGGCAACTCATTTATTGTTGCTGTTCCTAGTTACAGGGATTATCACTTTCTAATAAAACCTCCGTCTTTTTCATCTAGGTATTGGTTGTGGCAGCTCAGGAAATGTCTCATCCCAAAGTCCGTGGGAAGAACAAGCATTCCAGTGCTCAGAAACCTTGTATCCAGCTCCTTCCTGGAAGTGACAGCTCTAAGGACTGGAGAAGGATTGTTGATGACAGGATCAAAAGCAAGACCCGGAGGTTTGCTAAGGTGAGACCAGAGCAGAAACACAGTAATGTAAAATCCTATAAAAGAAGAGACCGTAAGAGTGACTTTAGGAGTTGCTGTAGTTCTAGCTGGAAAGAGCAAACTACTTGTGAAATTGGACCCAATCCAAAGTGTCTGTTGATCACTAGCAGGAAGCAGGATTTTTCCTGAAAGAGGGTGCTTTTAGAATTAGTGGGAAGGCTGTTCCCAGACTGGGTTTGTGTTAGCCGCTCCTCAGTTTTTTTGACTGTGTAACTTAAAACATCAATTCCACTTTAATCCCCTGCTAAATCTTTTCTGGTGGAAAGTATCACTTCCCATAGTCCTCTCCCAGCAGGGAGAGGATAATAAACCTTGAACTCCTTGCCTCGCACTGAGAGATAGCTGTTGCTCTTCTATGCTTGTTCTGAGCTTGTCTGGCCGCTACAGGGAGCTGTGAGTACACCTCATGGACTGTAGAGCTGCTTCCTCCAGACTAGCTGTCTGTGGAATGGATTGTAGCCTCAAGCTTCCTTTCTTTTTCAAAGAGATAAATTGATGTCTGTTTCCTAGGTCCCAGAACTCCCTTATGGTTCATCCTGGAAGACCTGCTTTCCAGAACTCCTTTATCCCTTGCGTGTTCTTGTTTCTTGTATCTAACCCAGCAGTACCGAGCTATATTGTACTGAAATATTTAGAGATGAATGTGAGAGGACCCATCTATAGCCGTAGGTGTGCAAGCAAGCAGTAGCTATAGTATGGTGGGATGCTGCAAGAAACATATTTCAGTGATTAAAACAAGCAACAACAACAAAAACAGTAGTCTTGACAGTGTCCAGTGAAATGCGTTAATACAGAACTATAGAATGCTGCACCTTGTTTCTAGACTTCAGTTTTCTCTTGGACAGGGTCAATCTCAAGTGGAACAGGATTCTGGCCCAAATGAGTTCAATTCTATTGCTGGGCACTTCTTCTTCCCATTGATCCAGAACTTTGACAGGTGAGTGTGAACTCCTTGGGGTGTGGGCATGACAACTGCTAGGGTGAACTGTTCTGCTTGCCTCAGAGGAGCAGAGTAAAGCCCAGAAGCTGTGCAGCAGTCCCGTGAGACCACACAGAGCTGATGCCTGGCACATGTAGAGAGCTTAAGGAGGAGGGTTTTGTGTTGTGTCTCAGACTTACGCTGTGAAGTTTTTTGAGAGGGAATATGTAAGACCCTGTAGTAAGTGAATATGCATTACGAAGAATAACCTGTTGGGAAGTGCACAGGAGATGACTTTGGTACTGAACAGTATCTTGGCTGAGCACCCACCTTGGGAGGAGGCTCACACTAACCCACGAAACTGGGACTTTGGTCTTTAATGGAAGTTAATTCTGCCTGAAATCTGGGCCTGTCACCCAAATAGGTCCCTGTGACCATGATATAGCTGGAAGACATCTTCCTCTCTGCAGGGCACAGTCTATTGTCTTATGTCTTTGCTTGCCTGAGGAAGAATTAATAACAATTGATTCTGTAAGAATCAAGATTCTTGTCGTACCAATCATAATGGTTTGTTTCTAGTATGGCCATGAAGCTAATTTTTGCATGTAGGTCTAAGTAAAACTAGCCTGTAGGTAGAGTAAGTGAGGCCTGCTGTAAGAGTAGAGGATATTTACTGCTATGAGAGCAAAGATGGGAGAAAGCAGCTGTGGCCAGTATTAAACTGGGAATGCCTCTGTTACAATGATTGTTTTAGGAACTGAGGCTTGTGTGAAACAGGTT